TCTCCGATGGTTCTAGTAACGTGGATGTCCCTACAGTGCAGTGAGTGCGCTGTAACTCTGAGAAATGGACAACGGAGGAAGCTCGAGATGGAGACAGGTGAGAAGCGAGGGAGACAAAGGAGCGATCCCACAGGTAAATGGAACGATCCACAGGAGAGGAAGCCGCCCTGACCCCCACGCAGCTGCCGGAAGTCAGGGGGCGGGGAAACAGGCAGAAGGGGAGGGGCGGAGACAGACGGGAAAGACGGGAAGAGGGAGGGGGAGGGAAGTGATAAAAAAATGGGAGGAGAAGAAAAAAGGGGAAAAGAGAGAAAACGGAAAGAAAAAAACATCGATACGTTCAGGAGAAAGAGAAAGGAGAAGAGTGGGTTCTCGATACCCAGCTCCTCCAGGTTAACAGCTGCGCAGGGAACACTGATGAACGAATGAATGAATGAATGAATGAGGGAATGCATCAGAGAGAACAAGAGGTCTGCGAGACAGAAGGGAAAAAGGAGCGGCCTCTGAGGCCGGAGGAGGGACCCGGCTGGGATGCGCTGTGGGGCGTGAGGTGCCGGGGAGGGATTTGCCTAGGAGGATAAAAGGGCTTTGGTTTCTGGGTCACTTGCTAGGCGGGCAGGGGCTCTGCTTGTGTTCGGTCAGAACGGGGTCACTGGGCCACACACAATGGGCAGACAGCTGTTGGGTGTCCCCCACCCCGTGACCCTCTTGTGGCTCTGCCACGGGCCTGCTAGGGACAGAGCTCTCCCTGCCGCCTCCTCCATCGACAGGGACTGCTTCTTCATGAGGCTAGCTTGGTCCCTGTGGGGCGCCCCAAGCCCCACCCAGAGAGGCTGTGCATCCCTGAACCAGGGGAGGGGTGGGAGGGTCATGGGAACCACCCTGGCTCCTGGTCCAGTGGGACCCGCTGAGGGCACACAGCCTGGAGGCAGGTGCTGTCCCGGCTGGCCGCTCTGCATCTTCTCCTTTCCTGCTCTGCAGTTTGTTCTGCTCCGAAGCCCTTTCTTCCCCTGACTTCTGCAAAACCTCTTCTGTTTCTGGCCTGCCTCTTGGATTTGTCTTTCTCAGCTTCTTCTTCTCCTCCACCTTAAATGGTGGTGTCTCGGGGCCACCCCTGTAGTTCTCCAGGGGGTGACTGTGTCTCCCAGGGCACAATTAGCAATGTCTGAAGGTATCTGGGGATGTTACTGCTTGTGGGGCAGGTGTCATTGGCATCTAGTGGGTAAGGGTCAGGGATGCTGCTAAACATCCCACAATGCGCAAAGAATTATCTGGTCCAAATGTCAGAACAAAGACCGAGGAAGCCTCTTCTGCAGTCTTCCTGAGCAATCTCACACCCTAACCCTTTAAAAAAAGTGACAGCACCCTCGGAATGCCCAGACTCTGTTGCCATGTCTCCACTTTTCCATGTCCGCTTGCCTGGGAGACTCCTTCTAGAAATATCCTCAGATGCTGTCTTCCATGTCATCAGAGGCTCCTGGTTTTCCTCTTAGATCCTCACCCTCTTTGTCTGCCCCTCAGCCTCCTCTTCTTCAGTTCACCCTGAAATGTCAGCCCCCCAGACCTCTGCCCCAGACCCCTCTGTCTCACTTATTGTTACGCCATCCCACCAGCATCCAAAGGTCCAGCCGGATGCCTTGCAGAGTTCTCTCTGCCTCGTCTCCCTCCTCCAGCAGGACGCTCCCGGGAGGTCCCACAGGCAGGGTGTGGGATCGAACTCCGCCTGTCTCAGAGAAGGGAGATCTCCTTCTCCCCAGCTAACTCTTCCTCTCGTTTTCTGTCCTAGGTCATGACAGGCTGGGAGTCATGCTCTGCCTTCTCTCCACGTGCTGGATTGACTCCAAGAACTTTCATCTTACTCATGCAGGGCCTCTTGTACCTGTCCCTCCCTGCCACCTCTACCCCCACTGCCCTAGTTCAGATCCCCAAAACGGGCTGACCTTGCTCTGCCCCTGGAGTATTGACTGGGGACTTTTCCTATGAAGAAGAAAATTTATCAAATTGCATTTCAGACAGGAACGAACTCGACATGGACCCGTCACAGTGCAAGGGTGAAGAGAAACTTAACCCTAGCAATGCCCAGATTAATGCATACAATTGTCCACAAAAAATCAGACCCAAACCACCATCGCCCTCGCTTGGCAATGTTTGGTGACCGTGGGGTACACAGATCTTTGGAATCAGAGACACTTTGGTGTGTTGTGGTCAGAACTATTAGAGTGCCACTCAGCAGGGCCCAGATAACAGACTGTCCCATTGTCCTAGATCCCTTCTATCCTTCTGAATGGACCCAAAGAGTCTTGTGGTTTGGCATCTAAAGAGAAAATCAGTGATACTGAATGTCCAGCTGATTCTGTTTCCCCGGACCTGAGCAAGATCCAGCAGAACTCCCGGTGACTTGCACAGGCGGGATTGGGCTTCAGTGTCGTCCGGAGAGGCTGGAGATTGACACTTTCTTTGTAGTATGTGCAGAATTCTGCCAAGGGTGGGGACTCTTAGTCTGAGCCCGAGCAGCACCATAATGGGCCATGTGGGTGGCCGGAGACAGGAAAGAGGGCCAAGGGTCTGGGTCAGGGTATTTGGAAATGAGCGGGAAGTGGACAACAGAAGACTCAACGGTGAGCCTCAGAGGGCTGGCCGCTTTGCAAGCATTGGGCCAGGCCCATGCCCTGTGTTTTGTCGCCCACCTAATTGGCAATTTCTGAGAAGTCAGGGTAGGAATCCAAGTCAGCAAAGATATCGTTGGGGTTCCTACAGGTCAGGTTGCAGAAGCAAGCGTTAATCCATAGGACCTGGCGAGAGAAGCCAGGCCCGTCGGGACACTGGAAGGAGACATTGATGGTCTTGGATTTGTAGGGGACGCAGCACCTGTTGTCCGTGCAGACCCCGCAGTACTTGGGCCGATACGAGCGTGTGCTGACGCAGCCAGCGAGGGTGAAGTTCATGGGCGCCTCTGGCTGATATACGGCCAAACACTTCTTCCCTTCCTGCAGGAAAAGAGGTGTCGGTTGGGATGCTCGGAGGACAAACAGCCACCTCCAAGCCCTCCAAGCCCTCGCTCGTTCCCTTCCCACTCGCCACGTGGGAGCGGTCCACCTTCCTTTCAGATGTGCAGCATCTTCAGCTAGGAAGGACCCTCCCCAGTGCAGTGAGATCCAGCCGCATGACACAGGAGTCCACTGAGGACCCCAGAGGGGATGCGTCGCTAGGGTGGTACCTCGCAACCCACAACTTCCCTTCCTTCCTGCACTACCCCCTGGCCACCGCCCAGTCTTCCGTCCCAGTCGCACCAACACAGGATGCCACTGTAGCTCCTTCAGTCAACCCAGCGCCCCCAGCTAGTCGGCGGCAGAGGCATCCTGGGACTCCACGACTGGGCATGCCCTTTGCCCTCACCTTGTCTTCCTCCGTCTCCCGCAGTTTCTCACGCACACCCTTATCACGCAGCTATTCAGCTGGATTGGAATTGTTTAAAGGTAGCTCTGTCTCTCCGCCGGGCTGTGGCCCACTCGAGGTTGGAGCTCTTGCTGAGTCTCTACGGTCTAATTCAGTGCCTGATACACAGCATGGGGGCCTTGTGAAGGCACTTACTCAGCAAACTCGCCAGACTACTGGTTCTCGGCACCATGCCAGAGCTAGGGACAGAACAGATCCAGGCTCTGTGAGCCCCGAGACTCGTACGATTTGAGGAGACACCTGAGGCACATAATTAAGGAAGCAATATCGGGTGGCGATGACGGGTATCGGGGATGACGGAGGGAGACTCGAATTATCCTCGTGGCGAACCCGTCTCTACCTCGAGGGCACCGCGCATGCACCCAGCTTAGGAGCTTTGCTCCTATTTTCTCGCTGTGGGGACTGTTCCAGCCATGTTCTCATTAAGTCATGTTTGCTGGGGACCCACTGTGCACCAAGCAGCCAAAATACGAAGCCTAGTATTGCAGGGGGAGTCATCAGAGAGCAAGAAAGACGAGGAGAAGGACCAGGAGCCGAAGGGCTCGGCTGACTGACACAGAGGTGACCAGCGGAGGGGACCAGGGACGGGAGCAACGCCGGATGTGCCAGGAGGAGCCGGAGGAAGCGGGGCCGTCTCGTCGGCTGGGCAGCTCTGCCTTCAGCGCCCCTTCTCTCTTTTGTTTCTTTGATGCGACACCCAGGCCTATGACCGGTCCTAAGGCAGAGGCGAGGAGGCCTCCAGGTAGGCAAATCAGATTCATATTTAACTCTGAGCCCGAGGCTCCGGCTAGTGTGTCCCGCTAGACCCCTGACCCTTTGTTTCCATTATCGTAGACGCTCAAAGCTGGGAGGGACGTCTGAGGTCCACTCTGACATTTTACTGATGAGGGGACAGGGGCCCAGAGATGCACAGAGGTTGGCGCAGTCACATTGAAGTGAGCAGCAGACGCGCATTTGACTTCGGCTGTCCCCAGCCCCGTTTAGTGCTCCCCTGGCAGCCAGCGTGGTTGTCATACGGCGCGCACAGGGGCGGGCTGGCCCAGGAGCGAAGGGAGCATGGCGGTCAGCGAGAGTCCCTCAGAGTTGTCACAGGACAGCACTTCTCAGGGTCCCTGGGTTCTCTCCAGAGTGACCTTGAGTCTAATAACATGGGCACCACAATCACTTCCCTTGAGTGAAATTCACATTATCCGGCGACACACATTATCCCAAATACCTGTTAGGAGGTGGGCTTAATTATTGCCATCTTACGAACGGCCCCGTGAGGGAGTCTGAGGGCCAGGCTGCAGGGC